GGGGGGGACCTGGCAACCCTAAACTGCTGCCAGGCCTAGGGTTGCCAACTTCTAAGTGGGGCCTGGAGGACCCCCCCCAGAATTACAACTGAACTCAAGACAGCAGAGATCTGTCTCCCTGGAGAAAATGGCTGCTTTGGAGGGTGGACTCTGTGGCATTATACCCAGCTGAGGCCTCTCCCTTCCCCAAACCCAGCCCTCCTTCCACAGTTGGTCCACCTCAAAACCTCTAGGGATTCCCCAGGCTGGCACTGGCAGCCCTTGTCAAGCCAGGCCCCAAGGCTCCCTCCCTCCCTCCAAACGGAGGCCAGGAAAGGGCCCTTCCCCCACCCTTTTACTGACAGAGCCAGTTAGAAGCCCCCCCCAACGTTCTAGTTCTAATCTCTCTCTCACCGTTGATGCCTGGAGTTAGATCCCTGCAGAGGCCATTTCAAAAGTTATTGGGGGGGATTCAACCCTCCCGGAAGGGATTTTTTTACTTCTTGGATTTTTCTGCAGACACAGGAAGTATACTGACTATGTAGGAAAAGCTGTTGGGGGAGAGTGAGCTTCCTGTTAGTGGAAATAAGTATCCGCACAATGCACCCTCTGTTGGAATTAGTATATAGATAAATATTCAAATAACTGTTTTTGGATGTCAACAACCATTATTAATTTGACATTATACTGTTCCCCAGCAAAATGAGAAAGGGGAGGGCATAAAACAGGAAGCGTGTCCCAGGTATATAAATTATTGGTTATGTCACCTTGTATGATGATGTGCATCCAGAATAACATAAGTTTCCTGCATGGATTGTGTATCGTTTCTAAGAAACCATGTGAAACGACCCATGTATGGAGCAGTCTTCAGTAGGAGTTTGAGCATGGATCTATCCTTAACACTTATGGCTAAAGAGTATTGAATATACACTACAAGGTAGCACTTCTGTAGTATATGTCACACCAGAGAAGGGACTCAAATGGAAAGAAAGTGGAGCTTTTGTAATGTTTGGTTTAAACCAGCTCTTCAAGAGTGACTGGGCAGCGTTCCCAGTTATCAAGTTTCATTCTCAACATTTGTGAGTTGGTTAGATTATATCTCTGGACTTATTTTCAATACACTGTAGCTTAGTTCATGTTAACAGCTATTTGGGTCTTCTGAAGCAATGCACTGAGTTATAAATTCTGTGTCAGGCATTTATCCTGGTGGAATGCTAACATGGGCTGTTGGAAACTGGAACATGCAGTGGGTGAAACCAGATTGATCCCACTGTCCACAGCCTGCCAAGTGTTTGACAGTGCCTTCACCACCCCCCACCACCCCAAACCCAGTTTTGCATTTCCAGGCAGGCATCAAAACAGATGCTTTTTATTGAGCCCCTGGTGGGCTACTTTTGGTGGAGTGGGTTACTAATCATTAATGCCTGCTACAGTGTACTGAATAGCTGAGACTCCTGCAAGTATAAAAACAGTTGTGTTTTGTAAGTTTAAAAAAAAATACAACTTCAGTGCAAAGCTTTCTGTCAAAGAAATACTACCTAGTCAGCCATCTTAATTTGTAAGTCCTTATGGCAGACCTATGGACACAGTAACAGTAGCTTCTGGAAGAGCAGTTTCTGTGGTTGCAGGAGGGACACTGCCGAAAACCACTTCTCCGTACAGGGAGTGATCCCCTTCTGTGCATCATCATGTACTTATGAGTCTCTGCACCTCCCCGGACGTTTCTAGGAACATGCAGAAGATCTGAAACAAATCCAGTGAGGGTGCTGATACATGTGATGTGTACTTCTGGGCTCTCTTTGATGGGATGGAATGGCTTACCACTTAGGGCATTCCTATAGTGACCATATTAAGAACATAAGAACATAAGAGAAGCCAATGTTAAAGCAGGCCAATGGCCCATCAAGTCCAACACTCTGTCACACAGTGGCCAAAAATACCAGATGCCATCAGGAGGTCCAGCAGTGCCCCC